AAAAGCCTTTGGGGGGGGGAAAGGGGGGGGGGGGTTGGACTATATATCGTTATGAATGCTGACGTCTGTCTGTCTCAATAGTACCTCAATCGAGCGAGAGCACAAGCAGATCCCTGTTTGCAAAAAAGGTCAGCCATCCGTTGCGGTCAAGGTCGAAATGGGTGGTCATCAACCCACTTATGGCCGACAGCTCGAGGAAGGTGACACTTTGTACAGTCTGATCTCTCGGGCTAGTATTGACTGCCTGAAGGAGTTCTACCGCAAAGAAGTAGCTACCGATGAGTGGCAACTAATTATTAAGTTGAAGCCACTTTTCGACATCAACTAGTTAATTGGACGGTTAGCCCGCTTCCAGGTAGGCAAGTTCTGGGAAAACTCAACGACAGAACCTGAAAGGCGGCTGTATTTCCTGATTTATTTTACATCGATGTGGTATACTAAATGTACAACGTCGGCCGAAATATCGCTAGCGATGATGGAAAACGGAAGCAGTCAGTTATGCTGCATTTCTCAAGCTCTTTCCTTTATACTGGCAATTGTTTCCTGGCAGATAGTAGGGGCAGCAGCAGCAATAAGATATGGGCGAGAAGAAATGAGCCATGCAGGTTCCAGAGAGCAAGGTTGCCCCTCAGCCTTCCTTGCGCCAAAATCGTCGGCTTTGATGGTTTAAGCTTGTAATTTCAATAGCTAAGGATGACATTATACGGTTCAATGTTAGACGTAAATTGTTAATATGCCACCATACAAGGAAAGATTGAACTGTGTAATGTCTCAAGGTCTTCTTATCTGGTAGCGTGCCACAGGTGGGGCTTTGTGATGGGTCACAGCCACAGCGTAATGTAATGACTTTCTGATGATACCACATGGATGGAACTCTGCTACGTTAATCCTATGTCTAGAATGGCATAAGCGAACTATGCAGCATGGCGTCAGGTGTGTATGGGTGCAAGCTTCGGCTCAAGGTGCATATATTTAAGTAACGATAGCAATGGCATGTAAGCAATTATTATCCAGCCCTCGCTTTCTCTCGCTAAGAATGGCGTACAGTTATGTCTACGAAAAAAAACACAACTTCCTGGCCTTTAGAAATCTTCTATACTACTTTTGTGATTGGTCCTCTTTTTGCGATATAAACCCCATGGAGAACTTCATTCCACCCTGTATTGTATATTTCATTTTTGATGCGTAAGTGCCATCCATTTCTCCACCATATTTACTTATTTCCCATCTATTCATGCAGATCCTCTTCAAACATGTCTATTTATTTGGACTCCGCAGGCTCTTCTGGCTGGGTCTGAGGGGCGTCGGCATCCTTCATCTCCTGGTCGTTAGACCCTTGCTGAGCAGCCTTTTCCGCCTCAGCAGCCTTGCGAGCCTCTTCCTCAGCGGCTCTTTTGGCAGCCTGCTCGGCCTCAATACGCTCCTGAACGGCACGTCTCTCGGCCTCAATTTTCTCAAAGTGGCGCTGAACGATAGGCCCAGCAAGAGCTCTCAGCTCGTCAAGCTTGGCAATATAGACGCCCTTGGAGGCATCGTCGCCCTCATCATAGAGCCATTCCTAGAGAAATTAGTCTCACGATCACGTTTTTGGTCTTGGGTAATGCGCCTACCTCGGCAGTTTCCAACTTGGCCTTGATACTCGTCTTCTCTTCGTCACTGGCAAACTCGGCGTACTGTTCGTCGAGTTTAGCGCGAAGATCATAAATGAAAGTTTCCAGCTCGTTCTTCTTCTCTTCCGTATCAGCGACGAGTTTGTCCTCCATGACCATGGCTGACTCCTTCTCGCTCAAGGCGGCCTTCTGCGCGGCATCCAAAGAAGAGGTTCCACTGGAAATGGGCAAGTCGCCCTTTCGGACCTGCTTCTTAACCTTTCTAGTCTTCTTAGGGGCATCCTCTTTTTTATCTGTATCCATGGCCTGCAGTAAAGTATCAGATTTGGGATTCACAGGAGGAAAAATTTCATGAACAGGGCAAGAGAAACTTACATCGGGATCCTTTTTCTCACCGTCCTCCTTTTCGTCTTCCTTAATTTCCTCCTCAACTTCCTGGTCTTCGACATAGTAACCATTTTCGACATTAAGGATGCCGTGAATGTTGACGCGAGCCTTGAGTTTGCAAATCATGAACTCATCCTGACCCTCGGCCTTGACGCCCTTGACAGAGAATCGTCCAATCCAAGGGTTCTGCTTGCCTGGCAGGTCTTCGGGCTTGGCATACCGAGCTTCGAGATCGAATGGTTGCTTGCGGTAAAAGGTCAAGATCTTAGTCGACGGAAGAACATTACCCTTGTTGAAGACAGTCAGGCTAGTATCTTCGTCGGGGATGTCGGCAGCTTTCTCCCAGGCAAATTCGATGGGGTAGCTGATGATATCTTGGACTGAGAAGTCACGCACGCGAAACACTGGCGACAAAATCGCGCAGCTGAAAGCGCAGCCACGGGCGACGGCCTCGTCAGCATTCATTGTATAAGAGAGGGGTTTCCCGAAAAAGGCCTGGATACGCTCCTTGAGAGCAGGAACACGAGAGCCGCCACCGACAATCTCCACGAAATCAATATCATCCTTGGTGAGCTTAGCCTGTGCCAAGGCCTGCTCGAGAGGTACCTGCGTACGGTTCAGAAGGGGTTCAACCATAGCCTCAAACTCCTGGCGAGTGATCATGGCGGCAACATCGATATCGTTCATTAGAGACTCAATATTGACAGGAGCCTGTTGGTTGGCTGACAAAATCTTCTTCGTCTTCTCGGCGGCGGCGATTGTACGGGCCATGGCGCGTCCGTGAGTGTAGATGTCGACCTTATACTTGCCCTTGAACTCCTTGGCAAGATGGTCAACAAGGGCTTTGTCAAAGTCCCGGCCTCCAAAATTGTGGTCCCAAGCAGTACCCTTGACGGCGAGTTCTCCTTTCTTGAATTCGACAACGGAGCAGGTGAAGTTGGCGTGGCCGATGTCCACGAAGCACACACGACGGGGCTTCTCCTCTGGAGCGGGAAGGTCGAGCTTGGTGATACCCCAACCGAGAGCAGCCGCAGTGTTGTCATTGATGAGGCGGAGGAGTTTCAAGCCAGCAATCTCAGCGGCATCAAGTAGGGCTCGGCGCTGAACATCAGAGAACCACGGCGGAACGCTCATGCAGAGATCTGAAACAGGCAACTTGAGTTCGGTAGCAGCAATCTGCTTGATTTTGCTCAAGTAGGTGGCAACGAGCTGAGTAGCTGTGAATTTCTCCGTCTTGCCAAGATAGGATACCTCGACACCAACCTGTCCATTGATATCAACAAGTGGGGCGGTGATGTACTGCTGCTCAATTTTGACGTCGGGGTCGTTGAAGGATCGACCAGCGAGGCGCTTCAAGCAGCTCACTGTGTTCTTGAGATTGGTGATCTCTTGGGTCTTGGCGGCCTCTCCAATATAGCGATTCTTGGAGCCGAAACCAACCATGGAGCTATGACAGCAAGCATTGTCAGTGTACGAGGAACTCAAGAGGAGGGGGGCATAAGAGCAAGACAGCAAGTTGAACACATGGTTGCTTGTGATGGGAATTGGAGCAGTGGGTCGACAGATGATCGGCATGAACTTACGGGGTAGCTCTGTTGGAAACCTCGTTGGTGATCTATGAGTAGGATGTCTATTAGCACGATGTATTGCAAAATAGGTGAGTCAAAACGGAAGAACGACATGAGCGGAAGGGACAAGGCAGGAAAGGTGCAGGAAGTATCGTCAACATACCACGTCGACGCCACGGTTTCTGGCGACAGCGACCACCGTTTGAAGCGTTCCAAAATCGACACCTGTTGAAGATGGTACGGTCAGCACATTGCTCCCAACTTCTGGTCACACGTACAAAGAGATGGAGGGCAGCAAGGCGCTAGAAGCTAAAAACCGCCAGCGAGCAGCCCATAGCGATGCCCGTCGGCAATTTCCAGGCCGAGGACGAGCATTATAGCTTCCAGTACCCCAAATGCTGGTGCACCTACGTACCCACGACGCTCATTGTGCCTGTAGTTTGCAGACTTGGCGCTCTGCAGTGTGATTTTTCAAAGTCGTTATGTTGTCTCTATCTCTTATCGCAGCCACAGAGAGGGGAATCGGGCGGGACGCGGGGTGTTGACGACGTGCAAGACACAAGTACAGCGTAGCGTGGAGGAGGAAAGCGATGCGAAAGAAGAGGAGAAGGAAAAGGATTCTGATTATTGAGACGTTATAGACGTCAGAGGGCACTCGGCAGAAAAGGTAACAGCGGGAGAGGGCAGGTTCGGGCTTGGGGATGAGAGAAGGCTGGCCGGCAGAGTGGATGCACCTTGTTCGGGTCGACAGGACGTTCGTTGGCTGGTCGAGTGGGCGGTGTGTGTTGCAGTTTTTTAACTAGTGGTTTATTATTATTATTTTTTTTTGTTCTCTTCCATGAACTTCGCAACGGAGGGGTTGAGGGGCAACACCTTTTTTTTAAACACACACACACACTGTACTGGGTACGCAGGGGGAGGAGCCATCGCATGGCAGCTTCTAGTTCTTACGGCGTCCTTGTGGAGATACCCGCCATGACAAGGGGGCATCTGGCCAAGGCAACAGTTCAGAACCATCCTGGAATACGTCTTTGATTAAACTAGCAACCTGCCACATCTGAGCTTTCAATTTCACTTTCTACTTCCAACTTTCAAGGTCAAGATGCTGTACCACGTTGAGGGCATCAATCACCCAGGTATGGAGGTCCCAGGATACTTGGATTATTGGCAAAGCCCACTAAGGTCGGATGGCCGGAGCTGTACCTCCGCCGTCTCCAGTCGCCTGAATACCTACTAGGAACATGAAGGAGTATGTATGCCCCCAGCCCCCATATGAGCATAGGTACCCAGTACCTAGGTACTCCGTACCCCATGGCGTCCGAGCTGGGTCGATGTGGCTGCTCCATGTACGTGGAAGCAGGAAGAAGTTTCTAGAGTCAACCTTGAACGACGACATTCTGTATACCTACCTACCAGGTGTCCAAGCACAGGAGGCGCAAGAGGCCTGGTGTTTTAGTGACTATCACTAACCTCATCAGCTACAACAAGACGGCTCTTTAGTATTTTTATTTAATATATCAGGCTTTTGACAGCTCGTCAGTGTCGTCACAAGCTTAGGAGGTAGTAAGTATATCTTCCACCATCAGCCCTGCAACCGGACGCAACGCGCTGTATAATACACAAGTGGCCCATTTTCCTCTCGTGGGCCTCTTATGAGCACATGATGTCTTGTCAAATTTCATCTTGGCGCATATTAGTAGTACTCTGCACGTCAGCCCCATTTCCATACGTGTGAGGGCGGCAAGGCGGTTGGCGGTTCGCAAACCTGATAATTTTCTTCTCGTCAGGCATTCTGTAGCCTAATCCAGCAGAGCCCGAGCCCGAGCCCGAGCCCGAGGCAGGGCAGGGCCCAACATGCCTGGCTATGCATCGCATCGCAAACCGGACCATTGATGCGCCAAGGCAATGCCAACCAAGCTCGCCTAGTGTCACGCAAACTCAAGAATTGCATCAATGGAATGTACATCTCCTGTTGGCCTTGTATTGCCATTCACAGATATTCACAGCATTTGTACTTGTCTCTTGTTATCGTCAGTGCCATACAAAGAAAACGGATGACACTAAAGGGTTCCAAACGACGAAACCATGTATGGATCAAGTCCGCAATTACACCACAACTATCATCAGTCTGCTAAGATGCCGGCTTTTTGCCAGTGACAGCCAAACTCAACAGTTGGCATTTAAAAAGCAATTCCCACGTCATCAACTTGACTCCTGCCCTGGGAAGTTTCGCTTGCTTGCGGACCGTTTTGCCATCTGGCGTTTAGGCTAGGGCCTGTTCGTGGACGTTGCTCGAGTCGCAGTCTTTGAGCCTGGTGAGCTATGGCGTATTTCCTCTTGTCCTCATCACTCATGTACGCATCACCCTCACCGCCACGCGCCAATATCCCATCAGCATCGTAGGCTGGCCATGGGTTGGCTTGTTCGGAAATTGGCTCAGCATGCTGGAGATGTCGTCTACTGGCGTACGGTACACCCTTGATATTCCTCGGACCGGAAAACTGGCCATCGACAACGTCTGGAGGGCGCACAACACTTCTCTTGCGGACGATTGGAATTCCAGGGCCTTGGTTCTGATGAACTATTGTCCTTGCCTCCTTTGCCGGTTTAAATGTTTCCGGGACAATATTTAACTCGTCGCCTTGCCTCTCTGCCTGCTCCGCAGCTTCTCTGGCTGTAGTGTGTATGTCGGCCGCAGCAGCATCCGCTCGTGGCCCCCCCCACGTCCGTTGCCCAGCCGTCAGAATTCCGTACACCATGTAGTACCAGTTAAACAGGGGGTTTAGGACGAACATTAGAGGATAAAACCATATCTTGAACCTCTTCAACTTTGCGCCGAAATATAGCATAAGGAGCCAGTTCAGTCCCAGAGACACTGCCATAAACCCCACAGGCAGATTGCGGACGCTCGCTGTAGTAGTTAAGAGCGCCAAAACCATGACAAAAAATAAAAGTGCCGTGGTTCGAATGGTATTTTGCATGAACCGCACTAATATCAACGCTGGATATCTCTTCCATAGCCTCCAGTCAGTTAGCATACAGACCTCGTTCGTTATAAAACCCAGGAACCATCGGCGTCTTTGCTTGACGAGAGATGCATAAGTTTGTACCGCTTCTGTCTTGCAAAAGGCGGAAGTGCACATCTGAATTTGATACCGCTGTTTGGCTCCTATCATGAAGAGATGGGTGAGCCAGCGATCCTCGCCGAGGTGACATTTGGCATAGTCAAACAAGTCATCGCACTCCTCAGCCTTGTCAGCAAAGTAGTATTTGGCCATCCTTCTGAATGCTGAAAAGCGGAGCATTGTCAATGCCCCAGGAAGACAAGTGACCGAGCCACAGCCAGACTCCACGGTGCGTTCGAATAGTTGGCCGTGAATGTACTCCATGTCTTGGAGCAGTGTAATAATGCTGTGTTTCTTGGTCGTCGAGGTGATTACTCCAGTCATGGCGAGCATTTTTCTTGAATTTCCAGGGCTGAGTTCCATATCGTAAACAAAGTTCTGGAGGCATACTCTATCAAGGATGCAATCTGAATCGATAAATAGGATAAAAATGTTGTCATTCTGCTTGATGTAGTCGGCGTACACGCGATCAATAAGTTCAAAGGTTGACTTTTGACACTGTCTTTTGCCGCCATGAGAAAATCGGGACACTGTGATTCGAACACCCTTGTAAATAACGTCGATGCAGTTAGGATACGAGTCTAATGTAGTTGGTACCCCAAGCAAGCCCAGTGTGTTAAGATAGAGCTCATCTACCTGTTCACCATCAAAAGAAAGGAAGACGTGAATGCATGGGGCAGGATAGTCACATTGGACAACAGAATCAATTGCGCTGATGAGGACGTCAGGCTCCTCGCGATAGCATGGCATGACAACAACGACTTTGGGAGCCGTGTAATCATCCAGAACCCTCTTTATACGCTTTGTGCGCCCCAAATGGTTTGTGACGAGTTGGTAGATGCAAAAGAGCCATGGAACCGTGAGTAAGATGGAGAAACTCCAAAAGGCAAACCACTGCAGGAAAGATGTGACAGCTTCTGGCCACCAGTTTGCTATAGCGGGTGGCAGGGGAAGAGTGACGATCATAATAGGGAGGAAAATGCATCTTTTGATCTCCGAGTTAATTGCAACGCACTGCGGGTAAGGGCATAGCGACACCGAGTCCTGTCTTGCCAGGCAGGCGTGGGAGCTCTAGACTTACCGAAGCAAAACAAAAGCAGAGCCAACAACTAGGCAGAGAGCCCGAATAGACCAGTGCTCTGCCTTTCCGAACACCTTGATTAAGCAGTACATGAAAGCCGCGAGCCAAAGAAACCACTCAAAACAGGCCATCAGCATGAGGAGTCCGACAATGATGGTGTATATAACCTATGTCGAGCAGAATACTGTTAGTTATCTCGTCACGACTACCTTGACGATTGGAACAGGAAGATCCAGAAGGGCCTACATCTTTAAGCGGCCAATCTCCGATAATGACAGCCATTATGCCTGCGCAAAACGTTGGACAGTAAACGTCCGGGCTGAAGAGGAATAGGCCCTATTCTCGGTCAAGGACAAATACACGATGGGTAGAATCTATCTCGCCAGTTGTGCAAGGTGAGAGGCGAGCATGGAGTTCAGGAAGAGATGCAACTGAAAGATCTGAAACAGGAATCCCGTTTTAGCTACATATAGTTACCTAGGCAGTTACACACACAATGGTCCTTGGATCGGGGTGAGGTCTGAGCTTGTGGTTGGCTGTGCACGGCAAGGGGAATTTTCTGGGCCGTCCCTCCGACTCCCTCCCTCGCACTCATCGAACGATTCGATTGGTATGCTCAAAATCAGAGAATAATGATGAGGTCCCAAGTTCGTTCATCGATTGGATTTACAACATTAACTTAAATCCATGCGAGGTCCCCAGCGCCTGAATATCTGCTCAGTCGGGTGCTTGGGACCAGACGCACAGTGCCGAGAAAGGCCCAGCGCTGAACCGTGGTGCTGAGTTTAGAACGGGAAGGTACGAAGGCACCTTCTGGGATTGATTCGATTGATTGCTTTAGGTACCTATACGTACTTAGGAGGCGGTAGGGGTGTTTTGGTGACTGTGACCAACTCATCAGCTATGACGAGACAGCTTATTAGGGTTTTTTTATTTAATGTATTAAACTTCTGGTAGCTGGTGACAATGTAACCTGTCTTGTGTGTGATAGTTGTGCTGTCAACAGAACCACGGGCCGCGTGAGTAGGTACGTAGTACCCAAGGTGTATTTGACATCCCACGATACTACAAAAAATGGCATGGGTGCCCATCGATTGGCTAGTAATTATGCATGTCACGCCGTTTCTTATGCAAAAACATTAACTAAAAAAAATCCACAAAATGTTGTCGAAGGAGTCTATTGTCTCTCACATTTGGGGGCCCTTTTGGCATATGCTAGTCA